CCCACCCCCCAATGAAGTGCCCCAGATAAGCACTGACTAAGCTTGACAAAGAGTCAGTCACGTCTGGGATTGACAGGAGGACCATTAAACGGCGATCCAACACACAGTTCTGGGAGATGTCAGGGGCCTGAAATTCCACCTAGTCCTAGCCTGTAATGGCCAGTTTTTGCTTAATAGCCTAACCTCAAAACTTAAGATGGCGCAGATTAATGGAAAAAGTTTAAAATTCAGTCCTAATTTGAATGCCAGTTCTTCTAAAGAACTGCAGACAACAAGTTCCCAAATCAAGATTGAAATTAAGAATATTCCACAATTCTGCTGCTTGTTAAATTTTAAACCAGTTTTACAGGTTAAAGTGAACATTCAGGCCCCTCCTCAAGCTTGTAAATAATTTATCAAGTATTCAAGGAAGGAATGATTCTGCCATTTGTCAATCTACAAGTTGCTAAATTGTGATTATGTGATGAAATACATACTTCATTGGTCAATAATTAGTGATACCTTGTCAGAGCACCATCATATTTAATATTTGATATTTAATGTTTTTTTAAAGCAGATTAACTACTGAAACTGAATCTTGCTTCACGCTGGTATTGTGAGACTTGAGTGTCAGTATTTCATATGATATATGGAGAAACCTACATAGTAAACTGTGATATCACTTTTATTAACTGTTGAGTGATCTAGGACCTTCAAATGATGATCTATTGGCTTTCCCATGATTCAATAAAGTTATTAAAATGAAACATGAAAGTGACTATGGAAAGTCAATGTAATTGGATTCAGGATCAGTATGTGCTAATAAGAATCCTCCATTATCTTTTATGTTCACAGTAATTTGTGATTGAACTGGAGAAAGCACTTTCATTTTGAAAAGCAGTTAGTTTCCTATCCCCTGGCAACATTTCTCCAGTTTAATATGTGCTTGAAATAAAGCCATAATTGGAACGTTTTACAGCTGTTTTGCTTATAGGTGTCAATATCATCCCTGCATTTCCAATCAGTAAAATCATTGTTTTTCAAAAACAAGTTTTCTTCTTTTGTTATTTAAGATTTCACCTAAGGCCTTAATCAAATTCAGAAACTAAACACAGCTTTTAAAGTGGAGTCCTGTAGTTCAGTGGTTAGAGCACTCGCCTTTCAAGCGAGCCACCTGGGTTGAATTCCAGGCAGGGCGAAACCTTGGGCAAGTTTCCTTACTCCACGCGCCTAATAATAATCCCTCCAAAAAACAATAATAAATTGGTCATTTTCAATCCACAACTGTTTGTGGGACACTGCTTTGCGCAATTAGCTGCTGCGTTTCGCCCACAAATATACAGTCAATTCACTTTACAGTATATTCTGTGAAGCACTTTGAGACATCTAGAAGATGTGAAAAGTGCTATATCAAATGCAAGGATTATTATATTATTATTTTAGACCATATGACAGTACAGGCTTGATAAAGTGCCAAATAAAGCTAGCTATATAAGACATAACATGATTACCAAATCTTAGTGGTTTGTGACTAATGTATGTAATATAGATTAAATTAGCTCCAAAATTTCAAACAATTATGCTTATTGTATTTTGCTGGCAATAAGCATTGTAATGATTGTTACAATGCAAGTGTTGATGCGCTTTAATGTAGAAAATTATATTGGTGTTTCGAAAACGAGTTAAATTGGCCAATGGATCACTTTTTCAATGTTACTTGTCTCTTCAGGCTGCAATCCTAATTTACTTTGATTGTCTAAAACATAAGTAATTTATCTTCTAGTTGCTATAACAATATCAACAAATAATACTCCTTCAGGAAATGATCATATTTGTGCTGACTATTAAAAATGGGAATGTTATAATTTAATTGTTCGAAATGAGAAAATCAAAGCCCCCTTCACATATCTGCAGAGTTTACACTAGACAAAAATGCAATTAGTTGTCTAATTGCTCTGAAATATATCCATTGTAAGAACTTGCTAGCATTCAGGGATTAGTTCTGTACTTGTTATGATTCTGCTGCGGTGCAAGGGAAGGATATCCTTGAAGTGTTAAAGTGTTGATGCATTGGACTTGCACTTGATGGCAGATCGGAGGAGAAACATCAATATAATTTTCACATAATTTGGAACAAAACATTGGCAGTACATTTTTAATGATTTATCAATGTAGTTATTTCCTTCCTAGAAATATGGTTCAATTAAATGTGAACTTGGAGATAGCACTAAGGGCTGAAGAAACAAATTGCTGTTAATTAATATAGCAGGCATTGCCACAGTGACAGGAAACATGGTTTATGTTCTAACCTCTGTAGGAAGAGGTTTAAGAAACATCCGCAACAAAAGGTATCCTCGTGCATTTTAATTACAGCCAAACATTTAACCTTTCCATCTGAGAAAAGATATCAGCCTATTCCTGTTTTGTCGTGGTAATCAAGGCTCTTTACAATTTATTGTGTACAATTTACACGCTACTGAAACTCTGGTCCATGCCTTTATCACCTCAAGGCTGGACGATGGGAACTCTCTCCTCGCCGGCCTTCCCGGCACCTCCCTCCACAAGCTGCAGGTCATTCAGAACTCTGCAGCTCGTGTACTGTCCCGCACCAGGCTTCGGGACCACATCACTCCCACCCTCACTCGCCTCCACTGGCTCCCCATCCTCCAGAGGATCGAATTCAAGATCCTCATCCTCACCTACAAGGCCATTCACGGCCTTGCTCCCTCCTACCTCTCCGACCTACTATCCCCCTACCTACCTGCCCGTACCCTCCGTTCCTCTGGCTCCGGTCTGCTCCACATCCCCCGCCCCAACCGCCCTACCATCAGTGGCTGGGCCTTCAGCCTCTCAGCCCCTAGGCTCTGGAACCCCATTCTCCAGTGCCTTCGCCGCCTCCTCCCTTTCCTCCTTCAAGGCCGGTCTCAAGACCTTTCTCTTTGACAGTGCCATTCAGCTCCCCTCTCGACTCTCTACCCCTTCCTCGCTCCCTCCCTTCCCTCCCCCTGACCATTTCCCCCCTGCTCGGGTCCTGACCCAACTGTACAGCACCTTGGGACGTCCTCCCGACATGAAAGGCACTCTATAAATGAAATCTTGTTGTTGTTGTATTCCCTTTTTGTCCACCATAGTAGAGTTCATCCTTTTAATACAGTTACTGGATTGAAGGTCATGCAAAAGGCATCAAAGTCTATCAAATATTTAAAACCTCTGACTTGCTTTGTCTCTTATTTTGTAGCCGCATGTTACTGTAATACGTATTGATTAGAGAGAAGGAAAAAACACATCATGTGGTATCTTCTACATAAGGAAAGTGAGGGTCACATAGACTGCAAATACAGATACTTTTTGACTGGGTAAATTTAACATGCTTTCTTAGCGGTTAAATTGCATAAGAAATTAAAAATCCTTGATTTTTTTTCAAACAAGCAAATTAATCAAGCATTACACATACGAATAATAAATAATAATACCTTAATGTAATGTCATGGTTTGATATTTTTGATAAATGATTAACATTTGTTCAGATGTTCGACATAAAGAAAATGTTATAAACTTTTAGAGATGCAGAACTGCAGGATATTACTTTTTTGGGGTTAGTTGGGTGTTTGACACACGTGGAAACTCATCACCTTGCTTAAGAGTATTCAAACCAAATTGAGAATTCCATGCTTCCCACCTAAATATGGAAATTCCAGAGATATTTGTTGGGATAGAATGTGCACTCCATCCCTGGAGGGACGCATCCTGCTTACAATACAAAATTACATTTGTATAGTGCCTTTCACATCAGGAGGATGTCCCAAGGCGCTGGACAGTCAGGGATTTGATATAACGCCTTATCACGACTTTGAGGAGTTTCCAAGCGCTCCACAGAATATATTATAAATTAAATTGACTGTATATTTTGTGGGCGAAATGCGGCAGCCAATTGCACACAACAGTGACCCATGAACAGTCGTGGATTGAGTGACCACATTATTATTTTTTTGGAGGGATTATTACCCTCGGAAAGTGATCTGCCTACTGACTAACAACTGGATTCCTACTTACTGCTGGAATCAAACCCAGGTCTCTCGCTTGCAAGGCGAGTGTTTTAACCACTGAGCTGCAGAACACCACAATGGGGAAGGGAAGCTGGTGGAGCCAAGCAAGGCTGGTGTGATGGGGTTATAGAGCCTGGTGCAGGAGAAGACATGAGCCGCAGAGTTCTGGAAGATCTGCAGCTCGTGGAGGGAAGAGTTGGGAAGGCCGACAAGTAGGGAGTTGGCGTAGTCGAGCCTAGATGTGATGAATGCGTGGATGAGGGTTTTGGTGGCATGAGGGTTGAGGCAGTGGCAGAGCCGGGCGATGTTGGGGATGGGGGAGGAAGGCAAAGCGGGTCATGGCACAGATGTGGGATAGAAAGGACAGTTGAGTCAAACAAGACTCCAAGGTTCCGGACTTACTTGGTGAGATGGAGTGTGCTTCCCTGGATGGTGATGCTGCCAGCGCCTGAGGTGTGAAGGTGCTGATAGGAGCCGATCATGAGAGCCTGGTTCTTATTGACGTTCAACTGAAGAAAATTAGCTCTCATCCAGGATTTGATGTCTGACAAACTTAATTCTTGATGTTTGACTTCAGTATAACTTTGGTATGTTAGATCCGAATGAGTCACTATCGGCACTTTTAATATGAGACCTTTAAAATGAGGCCATGCACCTTTCTTTGATTTTCTTTATACTGCTTCACTTTTACTGCCACTATTATTTAGCATCTTCAAAGATTCTGATGTACTTCTGTGTGGCAGAATTTTTTTTGCAACATTTATCTTATAACAAGCAACAATAATTGCCGTTACACAGATTTCTCCCACATTTTTGCTGTTCATTTATGGAATACTCCCCCTTCCAAACATCAAAGAATTGTAAACATTTGCAACTTTTATTACCTCATTTAAAATATTTACTGTGTTTTTTTTTCAGACACGTTATTTCAAGTCAATCTTGGCATTTAAAGGCAAGTTGCTGTTTTTGTTTCAGGCAATGCAAATGGATGTAAGAAAAGTGAACATCACGTTACTTCGGATATTCCGTGAAGGAATAGCAGCTGCCTTGGGCCTTTTACCACAGCAAGTACATATTAATCACCTTAATGTAAGTTACCTTGGAGCCTTAATTTGCAGAAACCATTTGCATTAGCCTCTTGCATCAGTTAAAATGATGAAGTGTTTTTGTAAAGGGCTCTAACCCTGCTGTCAATGATGGAACTGTTATCTCTGTGGCACTCTGGACACTGGGAGATGGCATTCAATTTGACTACACGTCATTGGAATACACTCTTCCATTTTAAGTAAAGGAAATTTTAAAGAATGATACTTAATAAGCGTTTCACTCTGACAGCCGTGAGAGTCCAATTACAGTATATCAGAAGGCCAAGTTATATCAAATTCGTCATAGCCACTGCACAGGTAAAGGAATTTTTCCCAAGCAATTTGGGCTTTGCTCCAAATGTGCATAAATGCTTTGCATAACCTTTCTAGGCAGAATTTATAACTTCTAAAACATTTATATTCGTTCATTTAAGTGAGTACTTAAGGTCCTGACAACTTTTTGCCAAGATTGATTACCAAGTTTGGGCCCTATTTTCTTAGTGGCAAAAACGGAGATGGTCCTTGAGCTGGGACAGGAATGATTTGTACAGAATTTATGGTCAAAATATCATTAATCAGAAGAACATTGTGATCCTCTCCTATAGCTAAAGGGGTATTCCTATCCCTGCAGCCCTGCATGTGTGGTGGATTATCATCTTGTGCTTTGTAAACGGCAAGCTGCACTCATACCCCCAGGCTGCATCTGGAGCACCACTCAGTTCCATAGCTCCACTCTTTTCATAGAGAGCAGACAGGAAAGTGCGTAACTCCTCATCTCCCCCCCTCCCCCTTCCCACCCTCAAGCAATGGCACAACTTGAAGATTTTTATAGTGCCATTAATCTTTCTCATCACAGAGAGCCTTAAAAGCATTGAAAAAGCACTCTCTGCCATTGGACAGCCACTAGCAAGAATATTGATGGAGGTCACCAGTGGGTTTAGCATGCTCTGGGTCAAACCATTGTATTGACGTTAGGGGTTGTTGGTGGTGGGGAAAGCAATTGTTCACGCCACAAACTAGTCAATTATAATCTCCTGAAATTCTGAAAAAAATGCTTTAACCATTCACTCAAAGTATGTTAGCAAAGCTTATTTACCTCATTTCAGGAAAAAGTGCAATATGGGGAATGAGAATGAAGCATTAGTCCCATCCAGGGCACGACTGGGAGCAGTTTATGGGACAGAAATCAGTAAGAGTTGGAATATTCAGAACTGTAATGTGGGATAAGCTTTGAAAGAGCAATGCAGGAAAATGCATTGATTAATAAGTTACACAAATGTTGTCCTTATAAAATGCAAGCTTTGTGTTTGAAAAATACACAGGAAAAGAAAAACTGCATTGAGTTTTACGTATCTTCAATGAATGATAAAACTGGCATGTTACACCCGGTTCCATCGGAAGAAGTGATGCAGTCACTCAATGTAAACATCCTGCATCAAAGCCTCTCACAGTTTAGCATAACACAAGTCACACCTGAGGTAAGCTACCAAATATTTTTGAATGAAAATGTCTGAGCTTAAACATAGCATTTTAGGAAACATCTGAACATTCGTAAGAGCTGTCATTTCAAAGCCACTACTGAATCACTAGTACATCTATATTAAGACCTGAGCTGAGCCAATAAAAGGTCTTGAGGAAAATAGTAGCATTTTGAGTTTTTTAGGGGACAAGATAGTGCAAAGCCACCACGAACAAGAACACATGTTTATTCCAGCATTTTAAAAGTGTAACTTGACTGGATGAAACTAAATTGGCCATCAATAACATCTTCATTTCCTTTTCACAGTTTTCATTTACAGCCAGCCCCATTCTTTTGTTGTTAAACGTGAAATGAATAAAAAGCAGCTCGATGCTATGATGGGAGGTCTAGAATGGGTGTTCTGGAAGGATGAGATCAGATGGGTCAAAGGGCCAAATTTATCTGGACTATTCTTGTGATTTTGTGAATAATATAAGATTTTGTGGGAAGTTGTTGTGAATTTTTAGTAAACGGTATTTAATGACGAAGGAATTCTGGTTGGCTGAATTGGCAGATCTCGATTTAGTGTGGTTAGTTGCCCAAGGGTGTTTATGTTTTCACTATAGCTGGATTCCTTTCGGAATGGGAGCGGGCAAACACATTATCAGTGTGACTGTCAGACTTGTTTATTAGAGTAGATGTGACAGTAGTCTGCAGGTATTTACTCTGACACTCTGAGATTCTTGCACCAACTGCAAGAATCTCACTATACACTTGCACTTAATCTCCTGCTCCAAATAAGAATGAAGACCAATTTCAAGTACTGCCTCAGATCTAAAGGTAAATGAATATTAAGACACATCTGCTCTAATCCTTCTGGCACAATGCACAGGTTTGTGATCAAAGCAGTGGTTCAACAACCAAGGTTTCAGTCTTTTTTCATGCTCATCTGTACAAAAAGACAATGGAGAACAATCCTAGTGAAGTTCCCTTACTTTAACCCCACCAGACAGCTGCACAGAGAGAATCAATTGTGATGTTTAAAAGTTGAATTGATAGGAACGTGAACTAGGTGTATTGAGTGATAAAGGGAAAAAGCAGGGAAATGGGATCAAAACATCTAACACAATCTCAGAAACTGGCAAGACAGGCTTAATGGCCTCCTATTACTGTCTTAATCCATTCAAAGATAGATTTGGGGGAAATTGAAAATGTGTGATGGTGATGACATGTGCACTCCTGCGGATATTCACATTTTTCAACATGTATGTAATTCATGATACTCACCATGTAAAGAATACAATTGTTGCAAAAAAATCCAGCTGTTCTTTCTGCTGTCTTTTCGGGCAGGAAAGGAAAGTGTGGGAATCTGCTGACTTCAGCAGCACAGCTAGCACATCTGCTGCCATATATAGTTAGATTAGAGGGCACTGGTTAAGGCCCGCAGTAATACTTAAAGAGATCTAATATATATCAGGAACATAGAAGACGCAAACAGTTTCCATGAGTAAGCCTATGTTCATGACAGAATGTGTTTCTAAATATACTCTTCAATATAGACCAAGAATTGTTTGCTTTGACAACCAAAATCTCTAAAGACATTTGATTATTTCTCAGGCCAAGATGCTGAAGTGTGGCCAGTAAACCAGGAAAGGAGGATGTCTCCTCCCATCGTCTTTTCCTTTTCACACGTCCCGCGTCTCTTGAAGTAGTAAAGCAGTCTTCTGTTTCCTGTCTATTGCAATGTTGCAGAGTTTCCAATTTTTGAGCACACTTAATGGTTGGTTCAAACAGATCGTATTTGTATCCACAATTTGCGCATGAAATTCGAAAGAAACATTGCCCAATGTGCAGAAAGTGATCGGTGATGTCTCCAATGAATAAATATTGTCCTTGAGTCCCAAATGTTTACACTTTTACCTCATTGCAAAGGATCAGTGTGAAAGCTGTGTGAAACAGGGAGAGGTTTTGAGAAGAAAATTAAAGCTGGTAAATGCAAACACTACAAAAAGCATCAAAGTAATTCACTGTGGCAATGATACCCTTTCAGCAATTTATTTTTTGTACGATTTAAAATGATTCTGTAGACTAACATCTGTCCTCTTGCTTTTGTTGGTAGATTATCAAGAGAATTGCACTTCAAAACTGAATTCAGAAAATGTTTTGACAAATACAGTATGTGTTTAGGAACTAAGGTTTTTTGGTTTGATATTCATAACAGTAACAGGTTTGTGTGTACAGATTGATCTGAAATAAACACAGATCTGATGTATAACCACTGGTGTACGCTTATCTCACTAGCAGTGTTGTTTGGTAATGTCAATTTCATTTCTTTCAGAAAAATGTTTTACATGGAGAACATGGGAGGGATGGGTTCTGGAGCAAAGAAGGTTTCTATGCTGTTGTTATATTCCTCACTGTCTTTGTCATTGTCGTTACATGTTTACTGGTAAGATTTTATTATTGTATGCTTCTTTGGAAAATTTAAATGTGATAAGTTATTGTAATTTAAAATAAGGATTTAATCATGCCCAAACTCGTCTTTCTTTAGAATGAAATAAATACTAATTAATTCACTAAACAAAAGTTTCCATCATGCAATTTGATATATGTTTAAATACATGAGCATTTGTCAACGTTCGTAATAAACGTTTGGGTGCAATCTCTGGTTAAGTTTCTGTAAGTTTGCTTTATCTATCATGTATTTGGAGTTCACACCAAATGTTTTAAAATATGTCTATCGTAACTAGTTTAAATAAATATTAACCTGACCCTCATCTGCGGGTCCCTTATTTTGAATACCTGCAAAAGAAAAGGGGAAGAGAGGAACCTGCGGTTAAATGAGAAATGTTTGATGTGTCACTTTAGTTGTGTGGGTTGTGTTTGCATGCTCTGAAGTTCTGAAATTAGCAATGATGTGTGATAAGAGAAGGGCGCAGAGGTCAGAGACTTCTCCTGAGGGAGAGAACATCTGAGATAGAGTCAACCCAGTCTGTTCGCATGGCGCTCCACACAGGCAATGTTACAGGGTTGTCGGTGGAGTAGATTAGCAAACCCATCGTGCCACTTCAACAGAGCAAGGGACCGTTTGATGGAAGGAAATCCAAGAAGAGCTTAATCTCTCTTTTTAGAATGGAGAGGAGCTGTTAGACTGCGTAAAGACTTCACTGTTGTGTTCCAGACCTGCATCACTGACACACCTATGATAGATCAAAATAATTGTATTGTTGTTTGGTCAATTGCATTTCTGTTTGAAATAATATAGAAAATTGGGCTCAGATGAATGTACTGAAGCCAATATTTGGTGTAGATGTCTCAAAAATCCTAACCTACTGAAAATGTAAGGGGAGGTCAGTGCGTTGTGTGGGGTGGTAACTGCACTGCTTTGCTTCTCCATGGCCCTGTTCCGAATCATGCGGAAAACTGAGGGGCTGCATTCGGAGGAATCCAATACTCCCAGCTGGGTGTTACGTATAACGCAGCAGAGAAATGTCAATCACGTGTTAGGACTGATTGAAGATGGATCGGTTTCACTGATTGCGGCATTGCTTCCCACTGGGAAATCCCGGCCACAAATCTCTACACTGATATCATTGCTCCATGGCTGTACAGTGGGATTTCAAAGGATCAGGGTCCACAGCACCGTAAATGCTGCAGACCTTGAACTGATAGGTTGATTGCCCGTGCCCAGTTACCAGTGGAAAGAAAGTATTCTATCCCCTCATTATTACAAGTGTTGTTTTTGTATTTGTCAGTTTCTCTACAGGTTGAAGGAAAAGATTCCATTTCAGTTCAGTCAGGAGAAACAGCAGAATCAGCGGATCGACCTTTCATCTATGCCTGTGCAGCCACCACAGCTGGAGGTTAAAACTGCTCACAGCATGGTTCAACCTGGCCTCAGCACAGTTACAGTCAGTGTGGACTCCCCGAGTCGGCATGTCCCAGACATCAAGCCTTGCACTTCTTCAAGTCCCTCGCCTTTCAAAATGAAGCCAGGTTGTCTCCAAGAAAGGTAACGAGAAATGTTTCAAAATAAGAATTAAAACAAACTCATGGACAGTGCCTTCCATATCAAATGCTGCTTTATAAATAGTACAAACTACCAGCAGTCTGTTACAGTAGTTTGCAAATCAGCTCTTTCACAAGATAAATAATTAGTGTAAACATTTTTAAAAAATTAACATGACAGTTTTCATTTTAATTAGGCACAGTATTAATCCAGGTACTTTAAAGTACTGAATGTGCTAAATCTGAACGGGTGCGTTTGGTGTTTCATCTCAAAAACGTCTAAGTTACTCAGAAAAATAGTGGCAAAATTGTGATATTTCTGTTTACGCGTCAGAGATAATTAAGGAAGAGTGTGGTGTTCGGAACCGCAGTGTGGGAAGGGAAGCCAGAGTGTTGTGTGACAGAACCCGCGAGTTAGATGTTTTAGATTGAGCGGAAATCAGGAAAGAGCTGCTGGATGTAAAAGTGGAGTGCAAATGAGGAGACTCTCCTTTGCAATCATTACCATAGACTGCAAGTGTATCATGTTTTGGGAAAGTAGCAGAGCTGGATTATAGCGACTACTCCATCCCTGGATTCCACCCCCCACTAACCCCCGACTGCCAGCAATTGGTTTCTACCAACTTCCATTGAACTTTTCTAAACAAAACTAACCAGGGAATAGCTTTTATCACCTGATCATTCCACTCCCCAACTAACAGAAACCAAATGTAATTTTGCTACCGTTGCAAAAATGTAACAGAAACTGTAGACAAGTGCTGCACAGGCTGCAGGTTTAAACAGCACCACAAAATTCACCTGAAAAATAGTCTTGACTGCAATATGTTTTTTCAATCACGGATGTTTGTCGAGTTTCGCAATGAAATAAGTGTGATATTTTTGTCACACCCTCAGAAACATTTCCTTTTGAATTCTGCTCGCTCTGTACTGAGTCAGAGCTTTGTTTTTGCCGAAGCTTTGCATGAAAATCGTCTGAGATGGTTTTGACGTCTACTAAAAACCAAGGAGATCATGAACTGTCAGTTTCAAGGACTGTCAGGGAACATAGGCACTTGGCAAATGTGAGTCCACAAACCTTGGATCATAGAGGATGTGTCGGGGGCAGTCACATTGATTAATTCCTTCATAAGATAACAGGCTAAGTATGTGGCCAGAGAGCAATATAGCAGAAGATATAGAGATGGCTGTGGAATGAAATAAAATAACAATAATCTTTCATTTGATACAGTGTCTTAAGTTGGCAGGAAGTCTCAAAGCACTTCATAGGATTTACTGTAAATAATAATCTTCCTTGCATTTTTGGTATAGCAACTTTCATGTCGGGAAGACATCCCAAAGAGCTTCACAGGATTTTACTGTGGATTGACTATTTGTGAGTGAACACGGCAGCTAACTTGTGTATAGCAATGTCCCACAAACAGCCATGAAACTAAAGACAATTTTTATTTTGGGAGATTGTTGCCCGGACACCAGGAGAAACTCCCTTCTCTTTTCAAATAGTGCCGTGGGATATTTAATGTCCACCTGACTGGCAGACAGGACTTCAGTTTAATGTCTGATCTGTAGGACGGTACCTCCAACAATGCAACATACCCCCCCAGCACTGCATTGATTTGTCAGCTATGTGAGTTCAAATCTCAACATGGGGCTTAAAATAATCATGGCATTTGGTATAGTGCCTTATCACATTGTCATGACATGTCATAATTCTTCGCAGGATTTTATGATGAATATATAAGTGCAGTGACTGTGTATTTGTAGGTGAACACAGCAGCCAAATTGTGCCCAGGAATATCTCACAAATATCCATGAAGCAAATAACCATTCTTTTTTTAATCTGGGGGATTGTTGGCCAGGACACAGAAGAAACTCCCTTTTTAAGAGTAGTGTCATGGAATCTTTAAAGTCCATCTGAAAACGCAGACAATGCCTTGGTTTACCATCTCAACTGAATGACGGCACCTGCAACAATCCGGCACTGCATTGGAGTGTCAGCCTGGACTTCTATAGGCGAACAAAGGGCTGGGGCTGGGTTGGGAGCTGGAGCGATTGCTGAGGTTTCAGGAAAAGAAACCATGCAGAGGTGGGGAAAAATATTTTGGAGTTGCCCTGTGGGATGCAGGGAGTATCTGCAGAGATTTCTGCTAGGAATTAAAGTGGGTAAGGCGAGATCGAGGACTAGGCAAGATCTTTGATGGGCTGATGATCGTTTCTGGTTTCATGTTTTCCTTATGTAATGTATTAGGTGTCAGCCAGCTCAGTTGGTAGCATTTTGTTTCTGAGTCAGGAGGCCTTGGGTTCAAGACCCACCTCATATAGTCCAGGCTAACACTCGAATACAGTGTTGGGGTGTGCTACATTGACTTCCTTCAGATGAGACATTAAGTCGAGGTCTTTTATGCCTGTTCAGTTGGACATTAACTCCGATGGCCCTATTAGAAAAGAGAAGGGAGTCTTCCTGGACTCTTGCTGACAACAAATAAAATCCAGTTATTCATTTCATGGCTGTTTGCGAGACGTTTCTGTGTGCAAAAATCGGCTGCTGCATTTGCCTCAAATTGCAGTCCGCATGCTTTGCTATGTATCCTGTGAATATGTCTCTTGATGTAGTGCCTTAGTGAAAGGCACTACATCAAATGAATGTATGCTTTTTTGTATCTCCACAAATGAGATTGACTGAATAATGTCTATGATTGTCCAGTGTATTTTTCCTGCACACAATTCACATTTGTTAGAAATTACTCCCCAGTCTTTTTATCAGGGTTCTTGTTTTTCAGCCTGGTGCAGCCTCCGGTGGGATTTGAACCGTCACCCCTGTGTGCACGCTCTTATTGAAGCTGCTTTCCCAAACCACTCAGTTACCCTGGCAGCTGGGACGCCTCTGCTGTCCCTTGTGCATTGAGCTGAAATATAATTTTCTATTAAGAAAAAAAACATTCATTGAGAGTTAGAGCTTGAAGCTCCACGGATTTATTTGCTTTACTTTGGCAGTTTATTGGCATCATATCAAATAGCAATTTCTTGTTGAATCAGAATAATTCAGCATACTGTTCACATGTGTATTTCACTAAGGAAAGTGCCCGTGTCTCCCATTATTTTATAATGTATACATTTTCCCAAGTCCTCTGTATTCCTTTGCATTTCACTCCATGGTGTCTTTTGAGTCCCTTCCCAGTTCCCATTGATAAGGTGAATGTACCTTCCTTCAGCTAGCAATGAGGTGTGCTTACCTGTATACTAAAGAAATATATGGGCTTGTTGGGCAGAATGACTTTTGTTTCTGTGCTGTAGTTTGTGTGATTTCTAAATGATGGCCTTGCTCCAGTGAATAGACCCAGCTGGTGTGATACAAGTTTGCACAATGAGTTATGATCATTAAGGGCTCCTAGATTGTTATATGACCCATTCACATGAATAGTTCATACCACCCATCCCAACGTCCCTACATTTCCCCTCTCCCTATTTGCCTTTCTCTTCATCGTGCTTACCAAACCTCAGAGAATATGCGACAGAGAGAGCGATGTACGGTGAGCAACATGTAACATAGCGAGCAACCTGCGGTACATTGAAAATGTAGTAAAGTGAGCAGGGTGCAGCAGAGCGAGCGATTGAGCAAGAGATATGCAATAAAGTAACAAATAAGTAGTAGAGACTTGTAGTACCAGCCCAGCTTTCCCAGAAACCTCAACACGCTCATCTCCAGATTCCTTGGAATGGGCACATATGCCTCAAAACTCCTTGCCTCAAGCAAAAGATAGCATTTTGTTCTGTGTGCAATCAGTTTCAATACCATTACTATCTCTTGTCAATGTTTGTTTGGAAATTAGAGATCACCATCTAGTGGAGGAAACTGAATGTTAACATTTTCATTTCAGCGCCATCTGAGAATAGTTTGTTTCTGTAAAGTAATGCCTTTTATTTTTATATATATATATTTTTCTGTTTTAGGAAATTTCCCCTGACTTTACTATTGCACAGATCCATAATGGTTAATACAGTCAATGATAATGCAGAAATATTCCAAAGAAATGGTATGTTGTGTGGGTGGGGTTGAAGTTTATGCTTTGACCAGGAATTTTACCAAGTGTAAAATTAGGCAATAGAGAATCTCTGCAAAGTGGTTCAGTGGCAGTGTGATTAATCATCTCGTTCAGAGCTTCAGAACACCAGACAACTCAACAAATGTATACGTTTCACAAAGCGTTTAGTGATTGCAGTTGGAATTTTTTGTGTATTACAAATTACACACTTATTTAAATCCCTGGGTTAATGAGGGAAAGGTCAGCCAGGGGTTTCCACTGTTGGTTAGTATCTCTGTTGTTGGTGTGATGTCTATTGCTGGTGTGCATTTGTGTACGGCAGGTAAGGATCAAGATCAAATGCATGCCACCCGCCACCCACCCCCACAGTCAGGTAACACAGACAATTAGTGCTGATTGCCAAGTTTTACACATAACTAATGTTCACTTGAACGGAAGGTGACTGGCACTCCTGATATCATACCCCAATAGAAGGACAACCATCACTAAAACCAGTTTCAGAGAGAAGTAGTGAGTAAAGGAACAGTTAAAACAAAGGCATATTATCCTGGCATTATTAATATTAGTAGTAGTATGGCCATTAACTACTACTAATATTAATAACCCTTCAATTTGATATCGAATCTGACACATCCAGAGGACATCTCAAAGCCCTTCGCAGGATTTACTGTAAAGTGTAGTGCCTGTGTATTTTTTTTCGGTAAATGCATTTTTTGAATCCTCAATCTTTTCCCCAATTCCCTTGAGACGTTGGTCTCTCTGGATTTTATATTTAGAAGGCTTGTTATAAACAAGTATGTAACCAGTGGTATTCAGCAGAGCAGTGAACAAGAATCCCACTGCTGCTGTGATCCACTATTTTGATTTTTCAACATGATGTACCACATTACATCTCAAGCACCTGTCTCAACAAATACATTCTGTTCTATCATTCTATGTGAAACAATTACAGCAACCTACTCTC